TTTTACGCGCAGCGCTTTTAATTGGCGTTCGCTTTAAGAAATTAATACGGAGTGAGCTTGCCGTCAATGTCCCCACATACAAACAAACAATTCGGCGAATGTGAATGCATATAAAGCAGCGCAAATCAATTGTTACTCATACGTCCCGTGGCGCATTTCACCACAAATTATGTATTTCCATTTGCAGTTGCATATTTAGCGCTCAACTGGGAAGTGTTTTTTTTTTTTTACTGAGACATGCTTAGTCCTTCGTAATTGCCGGATTTTATAATTGGAAATATGTACATAGTTTGTTGATATGTGGYCTTCAAGAGTAAAGTGGAGAGTTGCAAATCAGTCGCGATAATTGGGTTTTAATGAGAGCGTTGGCTGGATGGGGTGCACAAAAGACATACTATTTTCTTCTAATGCATATTTTYTCTTACCTTCAGTTACCCTTCCTGTTCCGGTGCCAAGGCGCCTGGTTTAGCTGCTGACATGCATTTTAAAGACGACGTCATAGCTTTTATTGGACCTGCATGTGCATTTGCTTTGGAGCCGGTGGCACGTCTAGCTGCCTATTGGAATTCTCCGATCATTACCGGTATGGGTGATCAGGTGAGCTACTACTATCAACGAATTTTGAATATAAAAATATAAATTTTTATTTTAGTAGCCCACTTTGTWACTTATATAACGACATAACAAATTTAATAAGTTAGTTATAATAATAAGTATTAAATTATGTTTATGTTATGCTTTTTCATTATGGAAAGCAAGCAAAAAAACTTAAATGTTACTCATACGCACTGTATATCGCATGACAAAATATACATTTAGATACATGGAAAAGATTAAAAAAAAACAACTTTAAAATAACGGAGGATAAATTTAAAGCGAAATAATTGTTCAAAACTAATATTATGAAAAATATAACTATTATTATTAGTATTAAATGTAATGCAAATAAAAAAATATTTATTTTCAGCGAAAGTTATGATAATCTAAAAATAATATGGCAACTAAGTAATAAATAAAATTAAATTTAAGTTCAAATAAATTTTGCACGACAGCCATGTAGAACTAGTGTCAGCAAAATGTTTTTTCACAACTTTTATTTAGTAATTATTATTTAAAAAACCTTATATATTTTTTCTAAAATATTTAAAGTTCGGCACGTGGTAATTTAACCGCGAAACTGTCCTTATTAAAATTAAATAGTAAAAAATATATTTAGATGTGTATAAGAGACAGCTATCGTTCAATGTAAAAACAATTCATTTCTTTACATAATTAAAAATATTTTCATGTATAATTTCTCACACAGCCACCTTCTGATGACGAATTAACGGTAACATCTGGCATATTAGGAAAAATTCATAAATGGAAAAATGAGAGCACGGTATGTTTTGAAGTGTAATTTACATTTTAAATATTAAAATTTATTATTATTATAATTTATTTATTTGAAACAATTTAAGTCAATATTTTGAGAATTTAAATTTTTTGTAATTTTTGTTTAGGATTTTTCATAACCAAAGTTAAACTAAATTTATGAAACTTTTATATCTGCCCACTAATGAATGAAATGAATCATATACGCACTAAAAGGTAGTGCAAAATCCATAATGAATACCTAAGTCTTCAAACGTATAAAAATCGGAATATATTAGGTAGTCGAGAAAGTCTTTTCGTATTTTGTCAATRGATGTCATTGCAATCGTATATCTCCAGAGCTAGCAATCACATTGTGTCATGCCATATAGTGTTGGAAAGGTGAGACTCAATTAAAAAAATGCCAAAAAAAAATTAAATTCGGGGAAGTTAGAAAAAAGGTACAGCTGTACAAAAATGCATGAAAGTAGTGAAGAAATTCACCACTAATGAAATATTTGAAGTTCACGGAGATGATGCTGTATCAGTTCGTGTAGCACAGAATTGTTCRCTCGCTTCCGTCCCTGAATGTATTAAAGATCATTTGCTGTACTTAAGACTTATTTTTCCGTTAGTACGGTTTAAATTTTATTAGATGGATATGAAGCATTACCACCTCGGCATATAATTTTCAATAATTTTATTCATGGATTCGGTGGTGAATAACTCTTTACGAAAARGATTAAGTAATATCAAATCACCGCCTTATATATCGCCAAGATTCAAGTATAAACCAGACATGGTTAAATTTTTCTTAAATTTTCAGTTTACGGAAAAATTATGCCTTTCTAAAATAATTTTCTGTGCCGCGGTCTCAGCCACATTAAATTCCTCCGGAACAGTGCACATCCATACATAAATAAAAGCATATTAAATACCAAAATATGCGTATGTGCTGTATGTACATATGTGTTGCATTATAGCAGAAATCTTTAATCGTCTTTGATTTTTATTTCAACTCCGGCAGCAGCGAATTCCCAGCGGTAAGCGCTGGCACATGCTGCGGCAACCGCTATTTGTGGTAATCTAAAGGCAAGCGCTGTCATTGCCATGGTCAGTGTCAGTCAGCAGAAGTCAGCCAGCCAGCTGCGAGCGCTACAACAAACTTACCGCCGCATCAACTTGGAAGGCCACCCTCTAGAACTCCGTTGACATTGACATTTCGCAATTTGTGTAAAATAAAAGGCAAAAGAAGCAGAAAAAAAAAGAAAATAAGGGAAAATGAGGAAGAGATAAGCAGAAAAAAGGCAGCAAACTATTTGTTGTTGGGCTTTTGGAATTTGTTTGCGCCGCACTTGAAATTAGTAGCGGTAAACCGTTAGTTTTACATTTGCGCACGTGTGATTGAAGAGTTGCAAAAAAAGTAGATAACACAACCACACATATACCAGCATATACACATATACACGCACTTGCTGTTGCTGTTTTTGTTACATTGCCTGCGTAGTGATACTTTCTGTCTAAGGTCACTTATAGCCAACTTGCGGCGGTAATTTCCTGTCTTCCAAGTGGACGAAGCGTTGGCTTTGCGGCCTGTCGGAATTAACTAATTTACCTTATTCAGCGGTTAGACTGAGTATTTAAGTATTTTTTAATTAATTAACTTTTTGCAGTTTCATTATAAGTACACGGTAAGGAAAGAGAGGCAGGCACTCATTTAAAGAAGAAAGATGATGCAAAGTTGTACCAGAAAAACGACATGCAAGTAGGGTATAATAAATATATTGGTACTCATGTATTTGAAGTGTTATTTGCAAGGCGTCTATWGTAGCGCTTTGCTCCTTTGCAACAATTAAGCTGTAATTTATTCTGCTTTCATTTCATTGTATTTGTATGCGAGTACTCTAGGCAGTATCAACAGGTCATTTGTGTCGACAATAAGTGAGAAGACGCACGGTTACTGTGATTATGCCAGACATGACATTTAAGCAGCCAAAAGTCATTCCATTAAATGAAGAAAAAAGTTAACTGATGCTGAAATCGACAGTGTTTTATAATTTAATATATTCACATTTAGTAAAAAAGCATGAAATAGCAGATCTAAATAGCTTTTAAATAAAAACTGAAGTCACAATTTTTATAAGATTTGTCTAAAGCCTGTCTATTATTGCCCGTTCCGTCCTTCAGGATATGGTAGCCAATCGACTGAACCAGAAGGTGAAATTACCTATTCACCGAAGTGTTCTCTTAATAAATCCATTGATTGATTCGACGTATGGAAAGTGGCACCGTCTTGTTGAAATCAAATGTCGCCGAGATCACGAGCTTTAATTTTAGACATCAAATGGTGGTTTATCAAGGCGYGATAACGGTCGCCATAACCACCGAACCGTTGTTTTATCTAGATGAAATGGCAGCTTTTGCAACTGTTCAGGTTTTCTTCGTCCCAAATGCGGAAATTTTACTTGTTTACATACCAATTGAACCAGAAATGGTCCTCATTGCTGAACAAAATTTGTGTCGAAATCGTCGCTTGTTAAACTTTTCAAGAGCCCATAGAGCGAAGCGATGTCCCGTGGGAAGATCGGCTTCAGTTCCTGCATGAGTTGTATTTTGTATGCTTTCAATTTAAGATCTTGACGTAAAACGCACCAATTCGTTCCATACGTCAGGCCGAGTCATTGCGAACGGCTCCGAATCGAATACTCGCGGTCTTCGTAGACACTTTCAAATACGGCTGCTATATTTTCTTCACTGCATGCTGGACGTGATCTATTCGGTCGAATATTATCCAATAATAAATATTGGGGCTCAAGATGGGTGATCAAATAGACCGATTACATGGACTATAACACAATATTACGACGTCGAAACCATTCAACAATCGAAACTATTCAACAAAATATTTAACCAATAATTCATCAAACGTCGCACCAAAAAGTGTACAAAACCCAAACCCAAAACTGAAGGCCATCTCAGCCGAAGTTTCTAAAATGTGTATAAAAAATTTAATTAATTTTTGGCATGCTCGTATTGGCTCGAGAGCCTATTCCTCTGGAGTTAGTACGGATATGATGAGAGAATTGGTGGCCACATTACTGAAGCGATTAGAGATTCTTCAAACATATAAGCCTGAGATTCTTACCCACTTTTCAATGAACACTACACACATTATGACCTTATGAAAAAAACCTTCGTCAATGCCTACTCAATCTAGATTAAAAATTGTTTACAAAATCGAAATGCGATAGATTTCAAAACCAATATTTTTTTGGTAATGGAAACAAATACAATATGCAGATTCGTAGAGGCTTTCAAGAGCAAGTGATAGCAATACAAAAATATATGTTTAATATTTTCCGCTACATTTCTTTTCTATATTAAGCAGTCACGGTCACCAAAGTACCTCATCTGTTACCTGTTATCTGTTAAAAATAAGACAAACAAAGTAAAGAATTTGGGTTAACCTTAAATTAATAAAATATTGCATTGCCTATTAAAATAAATTTTCACTCACATACAGCTTGTAGAAAAATTCATAAGCCATAATGATATTATCATTTTGTATTCAAATTGCAGGGCATGTTTAAAGACAAGAGCAAATACCCCACACTTACGCGCATGTCTTATTGCCAGTGCCGTCTTAAATTGGTGTTTGCCAGTATTTTTCGGCAATTTAAGTGGAAACATGTGGCATTGATCATCGACCGCTCGGACCTTTTCTCCCTAACTGTAGGCAAGAATTTGGAGTATGGACTACGGCAAGAGGGTCTACTTAGTTTTGTACGTGAGTTGAATGGCAATGAACAAGAACCGTATGAGAATTACTTGAAGGATGCAAGCATGTACGCAAGAGGTAAGTGGTATGGACAATGATGTCATTTAATGATTGGTATAGCTAGATACAATCAAATTATTTATATGAATTGTTTGAGTTTTGATTGCCAAAATACGGTCCTAGATTTGTCATTATTTACCGAGAGACGGCAACTATTAACAAACCTTTTATGTTTGTCGAAAGACAGACCGAATTGGCTTCTTATTCTTCTTACAACTTTTTTAATTACCCACTCAACCCAAAGTAGCACCTTTTGGCAAAAGTGGTTCGGCAATGGACTTCAAGGATGAAATTGTTCTTGRTGTTGATGCTGGCTCCGAGATGGACGAAATTAAGTATCTATGACTATCGACAGTGACGTGAGAGCCAAGTCGCGAATGCTATGACTGTTGGTTTGATGACAGGAGATATTCCGTCTAATCCAGTCSGGTGAAARCAGCACTAAYGGCGCGGTTYGTACCTTCTTTATTTAGCTCTGTAGCTCGTATTATTTTCTACAGCAATAGATTGAAGAAGGAGCTTATGGTGTTGCTCAACTTCAGGTTAGGCAACCGTATTAGCTTTGCGTGGATGCAAGTTCAGACATAGCGGCACAGACCCTGTCAGTTTAGCCGAAAATCCATCGACCGCTGACGTGATCCTTTATACGGAGTTGCTGATTAGTGCTTTGAGAGACCAGGAGTACAAGACGGGTAGAAACCCATTTCGCTGTTTGTTATGATTTTCCAACTGTACCAAAGATGCCAAGTTCAATTTTTACATCGTGGGGGCCGCTTCTTTTAATGCTAGCGCTCTCAACCTCTGGTAATCAGGCGCTCCAATTAAACTTCAGTGAACCCTTAAACCGAATTGTATTTGATTCTGTCCTAACTATACCACTAAGGTCTTAGAAAAAAGTGTAGAAAGAAATTTAAATTTTTTTTCAATAATTTTAGAATTATCCTTTATAGAAACCTTTGAGGAGACGAATACATAACGAATTATTGTGAATAACAAGATTTGTGAGATTGTTTGTTTACTTTTTTTTCCGATCGATATACACTTGACGATGACCTGCTAACTCCAATTAGGAAGTGTAGTTSTATTTAGCCTTTTTTCTTTTCTTAATTTCAGTGGTCATTTTATCGTTGCGTGGCATGTTAGTTCGTAAATTTATGCTCGCCGCCTATACACTGGGTATGACGAATGGCGATTGGGTCTTTCTTGATGTCGAAATATTTCAGGTGATTAATGAGATTACGCCTTTAAGCACGCACTCAAGCTAATATAGCACTTTGCATGAATTTGAATGAMTATATAATCGTTATGCCACAGAGTTCCTATTGGGGTGATCACGAYTGGGAAATGGGCGATACGTTGGATAGTCATGCACGAAAAGCCTACGAAGCGTTGTTGCGTGTTTCACTGCTGCAACCTACCAATCCGGAGTATCAAGGCTTCGCYGATAAAGTGCGTGTTATGGCCAAAGCTTACAACTATTCCTTTAGCGATGGCGAAGAGGTGCGGTTTTTATGGGTTTAAGACGGTTCTGTAAAATTATGGTTTTTTAAAACATATTTTCTGTGTCTTTGCAAAATGTTAGGTGAACTTTTTCATYGGCGCATTTTACGATGGAGTTTACCTACTCGGCATGGCCTTTAATGAAACGCTGAGTGAGGGCGGCGATATACGCGATGGCATGGCCATAACACGACGCATGTGGAATCGTAATTTCCATGGCATAACTGGTCATGTACGCATAGAYGATAACGGTGATCGTGATGCTGATTACTCCATATCCGATTTAGATCCGATAAATGGCAAATTTGAGGTGGTGGCACATTATTATGGACTTCATCGGTAAGTTGTCAGAATGGTAGCTTTTCGGAACAGTAAACTTTATTGATACCTRTATTTAAATAGCGAATATTCAGCCGTGGCAGGAAAGAAAATACACTGGCCTGGTGGACGYGAAGGTCCACCACCGGATGTGCCACGCTGTGGCTTTTTGGGCAACGCGCCGGAATGTCATGGCAATGGTGAGTTTTTGTTTCTAGATCCATAGGATTTCGAGATTGTAGTAGTGGATCTTAATATCTAATAGATTAATTAAGGCACATTGAGTAAATACTATATCTCTTATTTACATAGAGTTAATCATCATGTATGGAACATTTGCATTCGCCATTTTTTTCGGCTTTTCCTTTCTGGTCGTTTACCTGATGTGCAAGTGAGCTCTTCGAATATAATATTATGCATATAGAAATAAATACAAAAATTAAYTTCAAATTATATTTTAGGCAAATGAAACTGAATAATGAACTCAATAACATGTCTTGGCGCGTGCGTCCGGATGAGGTACTACTTGAGGTGGGRAGACTTCATGGCAGCAAAGTTGGTCTGCAGAAGCTCAATGTGGAGAACTTCTCACTGCAACAATATGACATACATTCCGGTCGCGCCTCCATCGCCAGTTGCACCTCYCTACCACTGACGCAAGTTTTCACCACGATTGGTATCTTTAAAGGTGAACGTGTTGCTATCAAGAAGATACACCGCAAAAAGGTCGACATCACACCAACGCTCTTRTGGGAGATCAAACAGGCGCGCGATGTTAGTCACGAGAATACCGTACGCTTTGTGGGCTCTTGCATCGATTTGCCACGCCCCACCGTGCTCATACTAACCGAATACTGTCCAAAAGGTAGCTTGAAGGATGTGCTCGAAAACGAGGCAATACAATTGGATTGGAACTTTCGCATGTCACTCATACATGACATCGTTAAGGGTATGGCTTACTTACATAACAGTGATGTGCAAGTGCATGGCAAATTGCGCTCGTGTAATTGTCTCATTGACGGACGCTTCGTGTTGAAAATATCAGATTTCGGCTTGCGTTCGTTGACCACGCCGTCAGAGTTCGTGAAGGATCAGAATTATTTTAACAGTAAGTTTTTCTGGGTTGATTTTCAAAACGAAGAGAGTCGAAAATTGTGTATTTATTTTAATCCAACAAGAGTTCCTCTGGATTGCGCCAGAATTGCTACCGCTAACCGTGCTACCTGGTAATCCGGCCACACAGAAGGGCGATGTCTACTCATTTGCTATAATATTGGAAGAAATTGTCGTCCGTGGTGGACCCTATGAAATGATACGTCAATTTATGGATGTGCAAAATATATTGAATCGCGTTGAGGCACATGAATCACCACCGTTTCGCCCCTTTGTCGGTCAACTCGATTGTCCACCCGATGTGCTTGATCTGATGGAAAAGTGTTGGGCTGATAATCCAGAAGACAGACCGGCATTCGCGACAATTCGATCAACTGTGCGGCTAATAATGAAGTGAGTGTTATAATAACTAGTCGAAATTATTACCGATTACAAATTGGAAATATCTCGTCTCTTCCAAAACTAAAGAGGCTTTTGTGAGAACCTAATGGATGACTTGTTGCGTCGTATGGAACAATATGCCAATAACTTGGAAAGTTTGGTGGAAGAGAAGACGGAGCAGCTGAGCATGGAAAAACGCCGCACCGAAGAGTTRCTGTACCAAGTACTACCGMGACCGGTGGCTACACAGTTGCTCGCTGGCGAAATGGTACAACCCGAACAATTCGAATGTGTGACCATTTACTTCAGTGACATCGTTGGTTTTACGGCACTTTGCGCCGAAAGCGGTCCCATGGAGGTGGTTGCCTTCCTCAACGATCTCTACAGTACATTTGATCGCATTATCGGTTTCTATGATGTTTATAAGGTAAATTTTTAATCCATAAATAATAGAAAGGTTTTAAACTATCTGCTTTTTAAGGTCGAAACAATTGGCGATGCTTATATGGTGGTTTCCGGTCTACCTGAACGTAATGATGATCATGCACGTGAAATTGGGTTGATGTCACTCGCCATCTTGGATGCTGTCAAATCGTTTACCATACGTCACAAACCGGATTATCAGCTAAAAATTAGAATCGGCATACATGCTGGTCCAGTTTGCGCTGGTGTTGTGGGTCAAAAGATGCCACATTATTGTCTTTTCGGCGATACTGTGAATACGGCGTCGCGCATGGAGTCAGCAGGGTTACGTAAGTTTCATAGAGTTTGTAAGTAGGAAGTGAAGTTGTCCGAGATATTCTAGCTATAAAATAGCTGTGGTTACTAGATGTAAGAGCTTAGCTTGATATTAAAGAACTCTAGAAAGCGATTAGACGCAACTCGATTGTGTCTAAAATCGACTTTAGGCGGGCATAGATAAATGTGGAAATATATGCAGTGATGTTCCAGATCCCAAAGTGTCATGCAGCTGCTCAAAATTAACGGTATTTTTGTCTCGAGTGCTCAATGCGAGTTCGTCTCGATATGGTATTCTCGGCAGTGTCCTCGCTGTTGTAAGCATATTCCTATCATAAAATAATAAAATTTTTAGTGAACTGGTTCTTCCCTAGAAAACAGGGCAGAGAGAACTACTSTATAAAATACAACTCTGATGTACATCATTTCTTATTTCTCTTTTGCAGCACTGAAAATACATGTCTCCGCAGCGGCTAAAATAATTTTCGACAAATTTGGCACCTTCCAAATGGAATTACGCGGTGATGTGGAACTAAAAGGTAAGGGCACAGTGACAACTTATTGGCTATTGGGTTGCACCGAACCGGATCCTCGACCACCAACACCACAAAAGAACAATAAYGGCGAGGTACCATTCCCGATACTCTTTCCAGCGATTGGGAAATAGCTCTCAGCTGCCGAAGAGCATGAATGTGCGACCTCCGAATTTTGAAATACGCTCAATTGTTACCTGTTCAAATATGTATGCGGTTATACAACCAAAATTATATAAACTTAAGCAGCCTGTTTTTAGAATATACTTATGTTGGAGAGTTAGTACTGCTGTAGTTCTAATCCAATGATATATTTACTCATTCCAGTACAAGTCTCTGTGTACCTAAAATTTTGTATTATTGTGTAGTAAAATCATACACCATACACATACAGTATTTTGTGTTTCTACTCATAATTGTTAAATGTACTGTAGTATTTGTTGGTAAGCTTCTAAGCATTGAGCTTATGTGGACTGAGCTTTGAAGCTATAAGAAGTAGTAGTTGGTTTATTGGAACGCTCATTTTATTATTTAACAAATGATGATGGAATATGAAGGTCTAAAATGAAGAAAGATATCTTTAGGCAGCGAAGTTATATTGAGAACAAAAAATAAATGATTCTATTCATCCAATGAGTACAATGGAGAGCTCAATTAGAATATTATATTTACTTATTATTTATATATGAGCATGATAGTATGGAATTATGCTAGTCAATGCAAAAATAAATGTGAATGTATTTATGTAACGTCAATGTGCTGTGAAAAATATACAAATTTTAGATATGTGTACTATGATGTCAATGTCTACACAATTAAATAAACAAATAAAGTATAAAATTGATAGTAAAAATGTATAGTAGAACATATTTATAGTAATGTGGCGCTGCGAACTGAGCGTGCTATTCGCAACACGGTCACCCATCTTGAGATCCAGAATTCATTATACATTCGGCCGAATAGACCACGTCCAGCATATAGTGGAGAAAATATAGCAGCTGTAGCTGAGAGGGTGCACGAAGACCGTGGAGAGTCCATTCGCGCCAAAGGCCGCAAAAAAGATRTCTGGCAACGTGGCTGAGAACCCTACATTCGTCAAACGCCGCATTACTGGCAACAAGAGGCTGCTTTATTAATATGACGTCGAAACTGTGCAACAATACACTGTATAGCGATCTAAAAATKAGCCAAAACCGAGAAAACAAACATTCGGCGAAGAAACTGGCAGCCATCACAGCCATAGTAAGTGTATAGAGAATTGGATTAAACGTTTGCATACTTGTATTGGATCAGAAGCTCTCTTTTTTAATAATCTGACACTGGACCTCTCTTTATTACGAAAAATGCGGATTGGAAAGCAACGGATCTAGTAGAGCTGAATTAATACAATTCTGTTGGTGAGCATTCCAAAACCGATTGAACCTCCCACTTGGATAGCAGAAAAGGCCGACTTTTGCGTTACCGTAAACTACTAGGCAGATGTGAATAAGAAGTACAAACTGGAACTAAATATTTCCGAACTCCGACAGTAAACCGCACTAATTCACTCCGCACACAACTGCGATTGCCACTAAAGTACAGAGCCGCAACAAGGTCCTCAAATATCTAACCTGCATCACCTGTAGCAAAGAGAAAGAAACGTTGCTGGCAATATACAAGACAATATCGACACTGTCCCCTTTAAGCAGTTCCTTTTCGGGGTTTTTCGTCATCACTCCCGTCACCTAATTGAAGGGGAACCGTCACCTAAAAACATCAGAAAATCATTCCTCCAATACGTCGACGATATAGAATCATATACCGTTCAAATTTCGGACGCGACTAAGTTTCGAAAGGCATTGAACGTCATTTACAGTGGAACTATAAATACCCTTTCATTGAATGGTGTACTTGGAGACCAAACACTAAAAATTGCAGATTAAGAGCTCGAGTTGCCGCGTGAAACAAAAGTGAAACTAGCACTGCTTTGTTCCGGGTACTGTAGCAGRTTACACTCCTACCAATCGACTCAAGCCTATTAATTTCGGACAAACCCTGTACTAAAAAAATTAAAACAGTTTTTTTTTTGCTGTGAATTTAAAGTATGTGTTAATTTAGATGACCCCCTTCAAATCTAGGTAGAGTGTTTTGACTGTTATTTTATGAGCTTTTGGTATCCTCAATACGTACTGTTCAGAAAAAAAACGAAATTTTTGTACCGCAATGACGAAAAATTATTACTGATTTTGGCGGCATTTSTCGTTTTTGAAGCAAGAGCAATAATCACACTTTTTATATTGAAAGATGGAAACAGAAAAGTGAAACCAGAACGAAATGAAGTCATTCCTAAGAAGTATCTACATTTAATTGTACCAAGTAACAAAGATTTGTTTTTACACAACTTCACCCACCCGTCCACAAAACCACCACTAAAAAAAGCTTTAAGCTCGCGTCACTCTGCTTAAAATACCGGTATTCTTTCGTCCTTTTGTTTACACAGTATTTTTCATGCATTCCTTCTTTGTTATGTCCTTTGTTTATAACAATAAATAAAAAAGCTGTCATTCCGTTATCCTTGCTACAAGTGAGCTTCCTGTCAAATGAAGCACAGAAAATATGTAGTGCGTGTAGGTTTTGAGTGTGTGAATTTTATCAGCGTGAAATTAGTAAATATAAAATGAGCGAAATCATTAAAAAGAAGTTTATAGATCAAATTTTGCATAGCCGCAACGGAATGTATTAAATTACAACTATGTATATATAAGTATAGTTTAGCTTTAGAGCTAGAAAATTTACCTGCTAATTGAAAGTCCGCAGAAATCCAAAGTGCTTGTAGCACAGTAGATAGTGAATGTTTTATTTCTTAGATACCTAAACATACCAAATAGTGGAATCCGTAGTGAAATCATGTGCATTGCGACCCCCATCTGCTCCGCGGGCAGGCCCAGTCACCTCAATTGCAAATAAAATATAAAAGGATTATCAAAATTTGACCTCGCTTTGAAGTGGGTGTGTGGCAGAAAGAAATATTTTTCGCCAATTTGACGCACTCACACATACACACGCACTTACACGTAACTCGCATATACCCACCGTTTGCAATATGAAAGTGATGCGCATACGCCACGCTAAACTAATCGTAGCCGTAGTGGTCATAGCCAACCTCATACTATTTTATTATTCCTGGAAGTCGACCATTTGGAAGAGTCTCACCTCCACGCTCATGCCCGGCGATGCAGCAGAGCGCGCCGCGTCAGCTGATAACGAGCTCGGCGGWGTTGGTGCCGGCGCCGCAGGACGTGGCGGGGGMAAATCGCCGCGCGATAAGCTCAAGAATGCCAACAAACATATACGTAAATCCATAACGGTTGTATTTCGCAGTTTTTATAATTTCGAAAATGATCTCAAAGCATCCATTGACAATCTGCTCGATATTGTGCCGAATTTGTCGGTGTTGGTGCTATTGGAGGGTACACCCTATCCACCGGTCACGTATGAGCGCAACATCACCGCCACCAGCGGCGAGGAGAACACTGTGCGCTTCATAAATCTCGGTTTCGATGTGCAAAAGACACCGGAGCAATTAAACGCGCTCGCAGCCATACACACGAAATACGTGTTACTGCTGCCGGATAGCGTGCGTTTGACGAGCAAAAATCTCTTGCAAAAGATTTTGCGCGAAATCAATTCGGCCATGCCATTGGGCGCTGGCATAGCGGCAAGAGCGCCGCTTAAGGCGGGCGAGTTTAAGCATCAGCAAGAGGCGCGCGCCTTGTTGCCRCCTGTCGGTCCGGAGGAAACGGTCAGACGTTTGGTGATAGTGCCATTCGCCGGCAATATGAAGTCGTTTAGCAGTTGTACGCAAATCAACTTGGATCTACCCAATTGGACGATACAATATGTGGCGGTCAACACCAGCGACAAGTGTGACTTGGTGAGTGGCAAGCAGAAAGCTGTTGTTTTTCGGTTTTAATGGATATATATTCATATTATTTAATTTTCTCCTACACAGTATTTACAAAAACATGCCATACTCGTGGATGTGGGCGTACTCAAGGAGCTGCCCGACCCATTCGTCTCGCCATTCCCCGAAATGTTTTACATACAGGCGAAATTGGCTGGAATTTCTGTAAGTGCCACAATTTTAATATAATTTCATTAATTTTAATACTTTGAACTTCATCTAACTCGGTTCTTACAGAAAACTGTATTTCCACAAACCTTCCAAGATGGACGCCGACTCTTCGCTTCGTACCATACGAAACAACGCCGCACCGAAATACGACGTCGCCAGTTTAAGGAGTTATATAAGAAGCTACAGATCAAACGTATCATACGTCGTTCACATAAAATCATCTCGAAAAGCGATACGAAAGAGAGYGGCGGTGGTGGCGGCTCACATCACAATCTCGTGCTAGATACACAATTTTCCTCATCTAACTTCAGTTTACCGCTRGTAACAGAAATCGATTTAATCGGTTGTGAACGCACCACAAAATCCTGCGTCGGTACTGTCTACAACAATCGGCCCTTTTACATTTATTTGGACAAACATGCGCCGCCATGTTGCCTTGACAAACTCAAAACGACATTCAATCATGTGCTCGAGGAGTTCGAGAATGTCGGCATACGTTATTGGTTGGACAATCAAGCCTTACGTACAGCCATCGAGACGAATCACTTGCATCCGGATGCTTATGAAATCGACATCAGTTTTAATGTCAACGATTTGGAGCGTTCGAATGCCATGAAAAAGTCGCAGAATAAACCATATGTAGACAATGAGGGCTTCTACTGGATTAAGGCGACGGAYGGGCATTATTTTAAAGTGCAATTTTCGAAAATTAATCAAATTGGCGTAAATCTATTACCATTCGAAATTAACGGTAATGAGGTGAGACCAAGTGGATTTTTCGGTTGGAAAGCCAAAGAATTCTCCGCCGACTATCTGCATCCAATGTCGACGGTACTGTTTTTGGGCAAAAGTGTAATGTGTCCGAATAATGTGCGAGAATTCTTGGACTTTAAGAATGTGTAATGCAGTGATTAGTGGAAGGAGGCTGAAGAAACACCGCTTTGAAGCACAAAACATGCAAATGGTATTAGAAGCGTTGATCTATTGAAGCACATTCGAGATCTAACAAAAAAAAAAAAAAGCGCAAAGTGTTCCGAGAGTATATTTCAGCGGCTACTTAAGAGGTGTGGTTCATAAGTGTGGAAGTTATATTGTTTCAAATTAGTTTCCTTTTAGTTGTCATAAAGATATATTCTCCAATTTTACATAATTTAAAGCAAATATAAATTTTTTTCGATCAGTTCCTTCATAACACATGTGTCTCTCTAAGATCAAAGTTYTTCAATATATTTTCCATCCTCAAAAGAAGGTTAATGAAAGATTGGTCTAGATTATCAGAAAACTAAATAAATTTTGTAATTTTATTGTTTGGCTGAACGATGAGGTTTGGTGATTGTGTACTTCGGTTAAAGCCGTTCGTCAGACTCGTGTTTTCAAAAACCACACCTCGCAGAACCATATGCAAAATATGAGGATTTAATAAAGACCGTACGAATTATATTAAAACAGAGCTAAAGTGATTTACCTAGAAAATATAAGTGTGACTTTACTTAAACGGAATAAATTAATCGCCATGATCTCTAAAGGGAAAGAATTATAAAAATAAAGATAAAATTTAGAAGATTTTAATGGAATTGTATATAGTAAATACATACATACACACCTACAAATATTTGTAAAAATTTAAAAATTCGGAGTATACATACACATTAATATATACATACATACTTATAATGCTAAGCCAAATTAGATAAATTAAGCGAGTACGGAAGACACTTCTACGAAAAAGAGTAAGATTAAAGAGTTCACAATATATAAGTAATACATGTTATTATGTTTTAGAGTTCATGCTTTACACCAAAGAAGCTTTAACATCAGCCGATGGAGCAGTCGTTAAAAAAATTGACTTTTAATTGAATGATTGAAAAAATTATTTCAAAACCAATGGAAAGGAAATAGTATGAAATCATAAAACAAAATACTAAATATAACAATTTAATAGGCTTGTCAGACATCCCCGAAATTTAGACAATTAGTATAATATCTTTTCTAATGTATAGATAAAGCTAAACATTTCTAATTGACTCAATTACRTTCTGTCTGAAGCGCCTGTAAAATATATTATATAAATATACGAAATAATAAATAACCAAACATTCAACAAATAATAGAAATAATTATGAAGCTTCAGTAATTTAGAAATATTAAACTGGTCAAAGATGGTACCAAAAGGAGGAGTTTGTGAACCGGAGTAACAACTACGCTAAAACGTAATACAGCTAAATATTATTTAATGTTGAATTATGATTTTCAATTAGCGAAGCAAACACGA